TAGAATGCCGAGTTGTCTTCAACGACGTTCAGACCCAGGTACTGGGTCACGGTGTCAGACACCGTGAGTGTCAAGTCACTTCTCAGCTCCCCTTCGAACCAGGTGGCGATGTCGGTAGTGGAGCCGATGTAGAGCAGGTCGTCGATGTAGACGATGAGTAGGATAAAACCCCCTTCCTTCTGTAGTCGGTACATGCCTTGGTCGTGCGGCAGCTGTAGGAACCCGATTCTGACGAGGCGGCCATGAAGATGCTGCTGCCAAAGCCGCGGAGCTTGCTTGATCCCGTAGAGGGATTTTATCAGCTGGCATACTTTTGTGGGGTCGTCGATGAATCCGTGGGGCTGCTCGACAAAGATTTCGGCATCCACCGGTGCGTACAGGAAGGCGTTTGCGACGTCGATCTGGCGTAGTGGTAGTTTCTTCGTGGCCGCGACGGCGGGTAGAATGCGCAAGGAGGTGTGACGGGAGACTGGGGCGAATGTGTCTGTGTAGTCGGTTCCGTATCGTTGATCAAATCCTCGTACGACCCAGCGAGCCTTGAATTGTTCGATGGAGCCGTCCGCATTAGTCTTGATGCGGTACACCCACTTTCCTGAGAGTACGTTCTTCCCGTTGATGTTTGTTGCAGGTACCAGCTTCCATGTATTTCTGTCTTGCAGAGCTTTCAGTTCCTTTTCCATTGCCTCCTTCCATTTCGCCTTATGTTCCCCCCCAAGAGCCTGCGACAGAGTCGGTGGGTCGCGCGGAGACGGCGGCGGCGGGTGCTGGACGGAGACCCATAATCCGAGTATCTCCAGGCCCATGGGTGTGGGTCGAGGGGAATTTTCATTCCCTTAATAGGCTGCTTCGTCACCATCTTCTGGATCAGGTAAAAAGTTTGGGCCGATGCGTTCTGAGACATTCGTGTCGACAGGTTAAGGTGTAACGTAACCTTGGTCAGCGAAGTGGTAATGGGTGTCGAGGTTATTACTATCGAGAGGATTGTTGTCGTCGAGTGGAAGAGGCACGGAACAGTAAGGGAGTGGTCCGGCGGCTTCCGAAACTCCAGGTACGTCTCCTTCTGCTGCGTCAGCCTCGGCAGCACGGTTGGCGAAGGACCGAAGGCCCTCAAAGCCGTTCGCGGGGTCTTCTGTGTTTGCAATGTTGTCTAGGTAATGCTGCAGCATCAGTTGTTCGTAGAAAATCACATCACGTGAGGCCACGGTGTTTTTGTCTTGTATGTCGAGAAGTTTCCATGCTTGGAAATGTTTTGCGATGCCGAGGTGTAGTCCCCATCGTGCTCGTTGAGAGAATCGTCCTGCCCGTGCTATGTGGGGTCTGTACTGTACCATGCAGCCCAAGACTCGAGGTAATTTTGTGCTGCCCTGTTTTCCCATCCACAGCAGGTGCGATGATGCGTTGTTGGGAAGTGATGACGAGGACAACAAATTGTGCAGGTGAACTGCATGGGTCATCGCGTCAGGCCAAAGTGTGTTAGGCAGTCTCATCCCCAGGAGCAGCTTCCGCATCGTCGTTTGCAAGGTCCGGTTCATCATTTCTGCGACCCCCTGCTGCTGGTGAGCGTAGGGCAGAGACACCAGGCGTCTGATTCCTCTTTCCGCCAAGTAGTTCCTGTATCGTTGTGACTGGTATTCCAGTGCGCCGTCGGACTGGAAGCTCTTGAGTTGAGTTCCTGATTCTCGTTCAGCGATGGGGAGCCACGTCGTGAAGGCTTCGAATGCTTGATCGCGTGTCTTGAGGTTGTAGTGCCAGACGTATCTTGTTGCTGCGTCGATGAACGTGATGACCTAGTTGAAGTCTGCTTCACTGTCGTCTCGTGGCATATTTAAGATGTCGCTGTAAACTTTTTCCATTGGTGCGTATGCAAGTGCACTTGGATTGTGATGTGACGGAAAGGGTTGGTGAGGAAGATCGGCTTCAAGACACGTGAAGCATCTGGCGCGAGGTCGTCGAAGCTCTTGTCCGCTCGTTGTGAGGAGAGCGTCCTTTTCTAATACTCCAACTTGGATTGTTTGTAGAACTGTACTATTTGCAGGGTGACCGAGGCGTTGGTGCCAGATGTCGTCGGGAGCGCGATGGCCGGGGGAGCGCTGATACAAGCTGGTGTTGGAGAAGAACGCGACGACTATTGCGGGACTGCGGCAAACTCCTCTAGCGTTTGGCATGAGTTGGTCTGCTTCAGTTGGTGGCCCTCAAACTGCTGGTGATGGCACACGACTAGGTCCTGCTGCTGGTACTGCAGGTGATGTTGCGGGTGAGACACTTGCTGGTACGTGTCTTTCTTGTCGTATGATTGCTAGCGCTCGGGTCCTTTCTGCTGCAGGTACTATGTTGGAGTACCAAAAACCATGTGGGGTAAAGTCAGTGTCAAGATCCGGCGGATGCGTCCATGTGGCGAACGACACGATGCCATCGCTGTCGGCAGTACCGCGGTCGGGGACGAAATCCAACACGAAGACGCCCGACTTCAGGAGAGCGCGACCGATGAAAAGGCCGCCCTTCCCGTGGTAAAGGCGAAATTCGTTGGAGTCCGAGTCGCATTCCAGGTGAATCCCTTTTGCCATTAACTGGCTGACGCTGAGTAAGTTGTATCTTAAGTTGTCGACGATTAGAACCTTGTTGAGTTGCAGTATGACGTTTGTCTCCATTGACTGGAGCTGAACGACGCCTTGTCTGTTTGTTTTCATATGCTCATTGTTGGCGACGGTGATGATGACATCGCGGTTGAGGCGTCACTCTCGCTGCACAAAGCGCCCTGAAGAACACATGTGTTGGCCGCAGCAGCTATCCAAGAACCAGGTGTTTCGCCCGGTGGGTTCGGCGTTGGCGACTGCAGCGTATGTCGGGTTGACCTCAAGACCTTGTGAGCGCGGCGGCGGCAGTTCTTCTTCGTCTGGAGCGTAAGTGGGTGGTGATCCGGGTGCGCAGTTGTCGATGTGTACCATGCAATTGATGATGTTCGGTGTGCTTTGTGCAGATATGGAGGAACGCCTCGGCGGGCTTTCTTGCGTGGAAGCGACTTGTGGGTCTACTAGACGATAAGCTCGGGGGCGTGTGCAGTTGACTTTGGAGTGTCCGGATGTTTGACAGTTGTAGCAGAATGGCGGCACAATGGTGAGTCCTCTGTTGTCGCGTTGGTCTTGCTTGCCGCGTCGGTTGTAGTTGTTGTCGTTTCTTCGTTGAGTGTAGAAGACTAACGGTTGCTGTTTCCTTGGTTGTCTTTCTTCAAACAGGTCCATCTCCTGTTGTTCAGCGTGAAGCTCGGCGCAGAGGTGCATTTCCGAGATTCGTCCGTGAGCGCGAAGAAGCGAGCGGGTGGTTCTCCATTCTGGCCCGAGCCCAGTGAGGACAAGTGTCACGAAGCTTTCTTCAATGACTGTACCTCCGCACCGAAGCAGGCGGTCGCGGAGTGTCTGGCAGCGACTCATATACTGCATCTCGTTTTCCCCGATCTTCATCTGTATTGTTGTCAGCTGCTGCATGAGTCTGCTTTGTGTCACGCTGTCGTTTGCTTGATAGAGACACTTGAGGTGATGCCATGCGAGTTCCGCGGAGTTTCCATAGCTTCGATACGTTCTGATGCTTTGTTGTTCTTGTGGTGACAGGTTCTGCAGGAGAACTGTGTACGCCAGCGGCGACTGATACGTAAAAAATTCTTGCTCTTTTGTAGTGCCATTGCTTGGAAATGGCACGGACTCGTTGAAGTATCCCAAGAGGTGCGCGGCCTCCATCAGCAGCTCGAACTCAAAACTCCAGGTAAAGAAGTCGTGTCCGTTGAACGGTGAGGATGTCTGCAGTTTGATCACGTGTGAAAACTGCGCTTGGAGACTCAATATATCGCTTGGTGTCTGTTGTGATGCAGCTGCTGTTGGTTGGGCACGGGGCGGCATGAACTCGAACGTCCACGGTGAAGAGTGACAAGGCGCAAAGGTAGGTGCTTGATTGTGTCGCCCGAACGATGAGTTGTCGAGGCTCATCGGCGCTAATCCCATGTTTCCTCCGTTGCTCTGTATTGAATGCGCAGGTGTCCTTGTCTGCTGCTGCTGGTCGAAGTGTGACATGAAGCTGAAAAACCTTTCTGTAAGGTTCGGGTCCACGCTTGAAGAGGGTGATGGGGTCACCATCGCTGGTGCTCTTCCTGTTGTTTCTTGAGCAGCGCCGGTCTCGGTTTGCAGTCCAGAGTTACCGGGTTGAGTGTCTTGGGCACTGGGTGAGCCCGTAGAGGTTTTCTTGCCCTTGTTGTCCATGACTTGTAATCAATGAAGTCGTTGGTATGCTGATTGTAGATAGAGCGTAGTTGCTGGGAGTTTGGTCTCTGACCAGCTCTCATACCATGTTGGGCTGAAAAAAGGGCCCTTAGGATCTTTCAGAGACTAAGTCCCAGTTGTACAAGATACTTGAGTAGTGCAGCGGAAGTTGAGTAGTTGAACCCTTGCACTAGTATGTGAGAGCAAATGATTGATTAAGAGAACAAGCATACAGCAATATATAGAAAGTAGGAAAGTAAAGCAATTGTAGAATACAGTTGAAAGAGCGGTTATCGAGTCGCACAGCGACTCGATTGTCGCTTCGGTTACCATCATTGCAGTTGTAACGGTCAGTCGCAACCTCCGGTTGCGATCCTTCGAGTCCTTTCGTGTTCTTTGTCCACCCCCTCGTGTAATCTCCGTTGACTCGCGTACCCGTTACGATCTTCCTCAGGTGTGGTGTTACACTTCAGAAACGCTTAAGTCTTCGAGATATTTCCAACAACCTGTACTCTCTCTCTCTCTCTCTCTCATCATACATTCAGTTTTGAGATATGTTAACCTACTGGCCTTGCATGCTGGTGACCAAGACTCTTAAATAAGGCAGTTTCGTTGCAACAATCCCTTTGGGCAGCAATCAGACTATGTAGGCCCATTTCTCTGAATTTTCAGACATGCTTTTTGTCTTTTTTTTTCCTTCTTTTTTCTTTTTTTCCCTGCAAAATCAGACAAGGTTTTAAGAATTCTCTGAACGTGAAAAGTGAATCAGACAAAGTGCGCAAAACTAGTCTGATCCTTCAGACACGTTATTTTTGAAAAGAGAACCCTGGAGGGGAGCATCCTGATGCTGCCACACAGGGGTTCTACAAGGATGAACCATACCAGGTGGGGGTGATGATCCTTCTCTAGCCAGAGGAGGTGGTGGCAAAGTTTGAGCCGTCTGAAAACTAGACGCCTCAGAAATAGGTCCTACAAGGATGAACCGTGCCAGGCGAGGTGATGGTCATCCTTCTCTAGCCAGAGGTGGTGGTGGCGAAGCGGTGTGTGATGTCCAGTGCTAGCGCCTCCACTGGGGGACAACCTGGCTGAGACGGGGGGATGAGACGGGGGAGGGGACTGGGGTGAACTGAGATGGTGAGCTGGGAAAGAGACATGGGAAGAAGATAAGCGACGGCGAGGCGATACAAGTAGGCAGGAGAGGTGTGTGCCCACAGGGAGAGAGAGACACGAGAGAAGAGGCAGAGCCGGGGAAATTTTATATTTCTGAGGTGCCTAAAGAATAAACTCCGAGGCAGTAGAGGTGTGCGCGCACAGGGAGAGAGAGAGAGACACGTGAGAAGAGGCAGAGCAGGGAAAGGGGGGAAGGTGAAAAGGCGAAAGGAGCAGGGCTTTACCAGACGTTCCCACGAGGGCTGCTACCACGACTGCGGCAGGAAAGCAAAGGGCCAGCGCGTACCAGCAAATGAAGCAGTGAGTACCAGCAAATGGGAACTGCTCTGCTGGACACTGGATGCCGGATGCTGGATGCCTGGATGGTGCTTTAGAGGCACTCACCAGGATGGCAACTGCTGCCACGGAGCGAAGGCCAAACACGCGCCCCAGAAGCAGCGACCCTGTCCCACTACCTCCCCCGATGAGCACCAGGGGCACGCCGCATGTGGCTGCCATGAGCGGGAGGTGTGCTGAGAGGATGCGCGGAAAGGGGTCCGCTGCTGCTACTACCAATAGCGGCTTCACTGCTGTGGGCACTGCTGGATCTGGTTTCGTGGGATTTGATGGAGTTTCCACTAGCCGTGTGCGCTTCCTGCCATTGCCATTGCCATTGCCATTGCCATTGCCATTGCCATTGCCATTGCCCTCCTCCTCATCTTCCCCCTCCCCCCCTTCCCTCTGCCTCACTTCCCCCTCCCTCTCTCCCCCCTCGCTTTCTCCCCCATCCACGTCCCCCACACTGACATCTGTGCCACGTGCTTTACTTTCTCTCGTCTCGATCTCCCGCCGCCTCTTCCTCCCACTTTCCCGCTCTCTCCCTGGAGTTCCAGGGCCACCAGCAGCACTCTCACCACCGCCCGCCGCTCCACCAGCACCAGCAGCACCAGCAGCACCAGCAGCACCAGCAGCAGCAGCAGCAGAAGGACGAGCATCATCACCTGTGGCATCAGAAGCACGCGTGCACTGCCCCTGCGCTTCCTTCCTCTCTGTCTCCTTCTCGATTCCACTCTTCCCCTCGCTCTCTTTGCCCCCGAAGGCCTCTACTCTTTGCCCACCTTCTTGCATGCTTCCACCGCAATTCCTTCTGCCACCTTTCATCCGCTTCCATGTCTCACGTTGTATGAAGGGTGCTTGGGGGGAGACTGTGGAGGAGGCAGGATGGGAGGAGGACTGAGGGGAGGAGGAATGAGGGGAGGACGAATGAGGGGAGGAGGAATGAGGGGAGGAGGAAGAAGAGAGGTGCAGGAGGAGGCGGGTGACGGAGCGAAGGCCACACAGCAGCACAGGGAGCGCTGATGGTGAAGGTGATGGAGTCACAGCTGCTGCTGCTGCTGCTGCTGCTGGTGCTGCTGCTGCTGCTGGTGTTGCCATTACATTTAAAACCGCTTTACCCTGCTGCACTCCCTTTCTCCGTGCTTGATGCTGACCGTTTTCCTGGGCCAACCTGACCAGAAAAAAAGAAGACGAAAGGGAGCACCCTAAAGTCTCACAGTTGAAATAAAAGCGGCAATAAGATAAGAGAGGGAGGCGAAGGAAAGACAGGAGAGAAATGCACCCGTTCTCTCGTTCAGGTCCAGGCTTGTCGGTCCGTTTTCCTGCCTCATGTTTGTTTAGTGGTACTGCCGCCGCGCCTTTTGAGGCGCCTCAAAACGCGCCGCTCCGGTATAAGACTGGGAAAAGAAGCGGCACGCCCGGACTGACGATCACACACATGTAGAAGCCTCGGTACCACCATCTCTCACTCTCACTCACCTGTGCAGCGTCTCCAGCAGCAACGCCAGTTGCTGCCCCACCACCACTCCGGACTTGCTCCGGTTGGCTTGCTTGCCGCTCCTGCTGCCACCAGTACCACCACCGACAGCCGCAGCAGCAGCAGCGGCAGCAGCAGCAGCAGCTTTACTGTCACCACCAGTACCTGCTGCTGCGGCTGCTGCTGCTGGTCGGAGCACCGAGGGCTTTCCTCCCTGCTTAGCCACTCCCCGCTTTCCCCCACCCACTACTGTCGCCTGGCCACCTCCCGGCACCACTGAATGCCCTTTCCCAACTCGCGCATCTGCGCCCGCAGCGGCGCCCGCAGCGGCGGTGGCAGAGGCGGTAGCAGCGGCGGAAGCGGCGGCGGCAGCGTCTCCAGAAGCAGCAGGTCTGCCTTTACCGCCAGTGCTGGCGTTGGTTGGACTTTGACTGGGAGCGGAAGTAAGGAGCGGAGATGTGAGACCAGCTTCTTTACCATGCGATGCCCCCCTTGCAACTGCCGCCGCCGCCGCCGCCGCCGCCGCCGCCGCTGCTGCTGCTACTGCTACTCCTGGAGCCTTCCCCGTTCCAGCCCCCTGTGTCTGTCCGCTCTTTAGGCTTGGGGCCAAAGCGCTTTTGCCTCCTGAGACTGCCAGCGATGCACTCTTAACAAAAGCAGCCGTCGGCTTGCTATCGCGCGCTTTCGCAGCGGCTGACGTGTTCCGTCCGGTTTTCACTGGTGGAGCACTCGTACCTCCCTGACCGCCGCCCTTAACGCCGCCCTTTCCGCCGCTCTTGCCGCCGCATGTGCCGGCGCTCTTATCGCCGCTGGCAGGTTCTGCCGAGCTGCTATTTAACGGCTTCCCCTTTAGCTGAAGCCAATCCCAGCCGTCACTCGCGCTGCCGTCGGCGCCGGCTTTATCCGTCCCGTCGGTGAGACCAGGAGCCGCGAACGCCCCCTTGCTTTTCTTTCTGCCCATAGCCGCTCTCTGAGACGTGCTTCCACAACGTATTTTTCACTTGTGACTCGGACTCGGAGCGAGAGAGAATGCGTGCTGCGTGCGCGGGGGAGTGTAAAGCGCGACGCGCGGCGACTAGGACGAAGAGGGATTGAGAAATGCTGGGGGGGCGCTTTGGGCTTAGGCTGGAGGTTTCTGAGGGATTCAACGCAACATATTGTGTAGCGGAGTAGTGTTTTTTGTGTTTCCGTCTGTATAGCATATCAAACGCATCTACTAACGAGTTTGCGTTTCGCAATTAACGAATCTCGCGAAAAGAAATGTCTCTTCGCAGACCTCTCTCAATATTCTTGGCGGAAAAGGATACACACGAATGTGCTGACGTGACGGCTCGTCGATTCCACGCTGGCATGATCTCACACACGTTTCGTCCAGCGCAAATCCGACGGCTGAGGCAACAAGAACGAATCGTGCGACAGTTAAATGGAGCCAACAAGGGATCTTCGCGATTGCGCGAGTCCCTCCGCCGAGCAGGCGAGACTTTTCGCCTGTGCGACGGACTCTCTCTCCCCCGCCTGACATTTCCCTGCGCCTGACTTTTCGCCTGAACTTTTTTTCCCCCCCATTCCCCGCTTTCATTTTCCTTCGCGTGACTGTCCCCGCTGTTTACGCTGTTCTTTGGTGGAGGCTCCTAGGCCCTGCCCCGCCTTCAATCGACGCCATCAACGGCACCCCACCCAGCAGATCCACCGCCGTTTTTCACGCAAATAGGCATCCGCAGAGTAATATTCCCGCGCAGATATATGTACACACACGCACGCAGACATATTTTGGCCGTTTACGCGTCATGACTGCCATCCCTGTTATAGACATCCGCGCGTCGTCTTGCACGACGAAAATCCCGGTTTCGAGGCACGTCAATAAATCTCCAGCGAGGATCCCGGTTCCTGTGAGGGTCCGAGCACGAGTGTCGCAGCCTGCGGTTCTATTTGTCCCGCGGAAAGCCTGCGACTCTGTGACATATTCCACAAGGCTCTGTACGCACGTGCGTCATTCTGCAACTACTACTACTACTTCTACAACCACTGGTAATACTAGGACGTCTCGGAGGAGCCGCGTCGTGCAGAAATCACCGATGGCGTTTATTGCCAGCGGCGTGAATGGTATCAATGGCAGCGTCAGCAGCGGCCTACGCAGTGCTAGTGGCAGCAGCAGCGGCAACCAACTGCGCTCTTCCTTTCTCGTCGCTAGACTAATGATTACGCCGTGCGACGACAGCGAGTATCGGACTCGACAACGCCGCGGCGGCGGCGGCGGCGGCGGCGGTGGTGGCCTGTCGTGTCCTCCGTTCGCTCCGCGCAGGCCGTCATCGTTCGAGGCGCGTCCACACAGACCCCCCGAAATAGTCACACTGGCTTCTGGCCGGCACCAGGCACTCGCGTCTAGCCGGCACGAGACGTTCTCCTCGTTCGACGACATGATTCGCTCCTCCGACCTCGTGCTCGTCGAGTTCTATGCCACGTGGTGAGTTGCGATTGGCGGGCGGGGGGGAGAGTGGCGTTTTTCCGGCTCTCATTGGCCACGAATGCACACGTCAGTTCCACGTTTTTTTACGGCCCCTTTGACCTATTCTCCTGCCTCCGGCTGTTAACTGTCTCCACGCATCTCCACCCATCTCCACGCATCTCCACGCATCCAACACCAAGTATAAGTAAGGCACGCTTCGCATTACAACCGCGCCGACTCACACCCACACTAGCTTATTTCGCAAACCAGATGCTCCCCTCTGCTGCCCCTCCCTTTAGCTGTCACTTAATCCACTCCACCTCCGCCATCCCTCCATGCCTCTTCCCCACTCCCTCAGGCCTACCTCTTGAGTAGACTCAAAAGCCCCCTCGGCCTAGGTGGTGCGTCACTAACCCTATCGCGTTTCCCCGCAACCTTGCCTCCCCATGCGTCCCCCTCAACGCACCCTGTGATCGTGTGTGCGTCAGGTGCGGGCCGTGCAAGCACATGGCGGGCGTGCTGCAGAGCTTGTCGCACCGACTGCTGGACTCCGTCAAGATCGTAAGGCCCTGCCTGCCCGCCTGCCCGCCTGTCCGCCTGCCCGCCTGCCCGCCTGCCCGCCTGCCCGCCTGCCCGCCTGCCCGCCTGCCCGCCTGCCCGCCTGCCCGCCTGCCCGCCTGCCCGCCTGCCCGCCTGCCCGCCTGCCCGCCTGCCCGCCTGCCCGCCTGCCCACCTGCCCGCCTGCGCGCCTGCCTGCCTCCCTGCTTGCCTGCCTGCCTGCCTACCTGCCTGCCTGCCTGCCCGCCTGCCTGCCCGCCTGCCTGCCCGCCTGCCTGCCCGCCTGCCTGCCCGCCTGCCTGCCTGCCTGCCTGCCTGCCTGCCTGCCTGCCTGCCTCTGCTTGTCACATGCTTACCCACCGACTTCAACTCTCCTTCACTCCTCTCAACCCCTTTTCACCCCAGTTCACCCATTCACCCTCCCTCTCCCCCGACTGCACGTGAAGATGGAGACACAGAGAAGTACACCTGACTGGCGTTGCTGCACGGCACTATCTCCCAGGACACCCTGACACTCCCTCTGCCTTCTCGCCTAAAGAATCCACGCATGCCCTCACCTCCCTCACCCCGCTCACCCCGCTCACGCCCCTCACCGCCCCTGACCCTGCTCACACCCTTCCCTGCCGCTCACCGCCCTCCTTCGCAGGTGAAGATAGACACGGAGAAGTACCCCAAGCTGGCGTCGCGGCACGCCATCACAGCTTTGCCCACAGTCGTGATCTTCAGACACGGGCAGCCCGTCGATCGAATTGTGAGTGGGTGCAAGCGAGCAGGTGCGAGCGGGTGCGAGAGGGTGTGAGCGGGTGGGAGTGGGTGGGAGTGGGTGCAAGTGGTGTGTGTGGCTTGGCGTTGCACAGGGCACAGCTGGATTCCAGATTCTAAAACGTGGCTTCGGAGTCCCTCCTCAAAAGTTGAAGCAGTTGAGACGCCAAGTTGTGAAGCAGGGGCTGCCTGACGCTGATCGCATCCATGAATGCACTGCCCACAAACCTAACCATCCTCTCGTTCCCCTTCCCTCCCTCCTTCCCTCCCTCCCTCCCTCCCTCCCTCCCTCCCTCCCTCCCTCCCTCCCTCCCTCCCTCCCTCCCTCCCTCCCCCTCCCTCCCTCCCTCCCTCCCTCCCTCCCTCCCTCCCTCCCTCCCTCCCTCCCTCCCTCCCTCCCTCCCTCCCTCCCTCCCTCCCTCCCTCCCTCCTCCCTCCCTCCTCCCTCCCTCCCTCCCTCCCTCCCTCCCTCCCTCCCTCCCTCCCTCCCTCCCTCCCTCCCTCCCTCCCTCCCTCCCTCCCTCCCTCCCTCCCTCCCTCCCTCCCTCCCTCCCCTCCCTCCCTCCCTCCCTCCCTCCCTTCCACCCCCTCCCTCCCCTTCTACGCTCTGTTTCTTTCTCTCCCTCGCTCTCCTTTCTTTTCTCCCCCCTCATCGCACTGCTCCCATTCTCTCCCTTCTACCCCAGGAGGGCATTCTCCCCCCTGAAGAGCTCATCCTGCGCCTCAGCTCCCTCCTCGCCTCCTCTCACACGCACTAGTCTTGTGACTGACTGGCAGCATTCGTTCTATAGAGATCAAAAGTACTACTGGTACGGTAGGTACCGGTAGGAAGGAGTCTCTCCGTCCGTTCCCCGTCCGGCTCTGACAGCAGCCTTTTGTAATTATTGCTGGATTATAATTTCCTTGCAGCTCCTTCTGCCTAAAGGGGGAAAGGGGAGGGAGGGGTGCAGGCCGTGGGAAGGGGAGGGTTTTCATTTCAAGGGTTTTGATTGGGCACTGCAGCCTCCAGGGAGAGGGAATTCCTAGGTTCCAGGGTGCATGGCAGTGGCAGATCAACAGTAGTATCGTACTAAGTGAATCTGGTATGTTTCTTTTTTTAGATTTGAAGTTGTACACTCAATGGCAAGCATTATTCTCTCTATAAGCATTCCCTGTACACCAAGAAGGAGCCCCATTTGAGCAACCTCCCCTAGAAACACCCTCATTGCATCGCATCGAAACCCTGTACATGCACCTAAACCTGCAGCTCCAGCAGCAGCACCACCACCAGCACTCCTGGCTGCGCCACCTCCGCCACAAACACACAGAAAATCCGTTCCAATCAACAACTCGTCTCCATGCCATCAGCACACCCAGCCAGAACCCTTCGCCATTGCCCACCCCTTGAGCGGCTCCCACTTGAGCGCCTGCATGAGCTCCACCTCGGCCCGGTTCAGCTGCTGCAGCGCCACTCCCGACACCGCCGCCACCCTCCCCCCCGACGGCACGCGCCTGCGGTGCACCATGAGCTTGCAGGCGAGCCAGAGGGAGGCCGCCAGGAGGACGCGGATAGAGGAGAGAGCGAGGGGGGTGGAGGGGGAGTGGGGGGGGGAGGAGAGCTTGTGCGCGGTGATCAGGCGTGTGAAGAGGTGCATAGTCAGGCTCTCCACCTCTCTGTTGCATGTGGTGGCCACTGCTGGGGCTGCGGCTGGTGCTTCCTCTGTTGCTCTTGCTCTTTCTGCTGCTGCTGCTGCTGAGGAAGAGGATGAGGCTGAGGTTGGCGTTGCGTGGGCTGGCAGAGGCACGGGGTTGGCGTCGGTGAGTGCGGCCATCCAGCAGTGCAGTACGTTTCTCAGCCTCTGGGATTTGTGCGCGCCCAGGAGCTGATCCGCACGCCCACACGCACCAGCACCAGCAGCAGCAGCAGCAGGTGCTGCCTTCCCTTCAGTCTTTGCATCTTCAACATGGCTCGTGTGTGGACAGCAGGTGCTAAGAACACTGTCAGGCCTAACACCACCACCAGCACCAGCACCAGCAGCACCAGCAGCACCACCACTACCCATGTCCGACAATACCAGCTCAGGCCTCGCCCAACTCACCTCCCCTTCCCCCTCTCCTTTCCCCCTGTTCTCTCTGCACCCGCGCTTCTCCACAGGCCAAAGAGCAGCTCCCAGCACCTTTGCGGGCCTCTTGGCGCCTGCTCGCACTGCGCTCTCCACCACTCTCTGCTCATTCGCAGCCAGTTGCGGCCCGTCGTGTGCCGGTGTCTGCACCACTTGAGCCGCTTCCTCCCCTGCGTCGGCCTGTGCGGAATAGTCCTGCAGAGGTGCCAGGGAGAGCCACGCACGGCCAGGGGCAAACCGTTCTGACGACCCCCAGTTGGTGGCTGGGAAAGAAAACGGCGTTGGCGTGTGCTCTGCTGCGGCTGAAGCTGCTGCTGATGCCGCTGCTGGTGCTGCTGCTGCTGCTGCTGCCTTATCACCATCCGTAACACCTCCATTAGGATGTTCACATGTTTCTTGATTGGACAAGCGGAGCCTGCTGCCGCTGCCGCTGCTGCTGGTGATGCTGCCGCCGCTGTGGCAGGCGCTGGAGCTGCAGGGGCAGCTGGCGCAGCTGGAGGTGCTTTCGTTGGGGAGAAGAGGCAGGGGGGTCGCAACTGCGCGGAGCAGGGGGGAAAGATCCGCCGCCGCCGCGGGTGCAGCTGCTGCACCACTTCCGCAGCCCGCTCTTGTTGCCGCTGCCGCTGCGGGAGCGAGGCCATTGCCGCATGGGCCCTCCTGCTTGCCCCGCGCCACCATCATATGCAATGTGGGAGCGCGGGTAGCATTCCGCTTGCCACGGGAAGGCGTGGGGAGGGGGAGATTGCGCGACCCGCCCAGGCCGGTATTGCATGCCGCCACTGCCACTGTGACATATCCGCCGCATTCCCCGCACAGCGGGACGGCAGTCGCCGCCCTTCCCGCCGCCGCCGCCGCCGCCGCAGAAGACGCGAGCTTGGCGGCCGCTGAAGCCGGAGCCGCGAAGCCGAGCACAGCGGTGACGAGAGCGGCGGAGTAGGAGGCGGAGGAGAGGCGCGGGCAGAGCTCGCAGAGGGAGAATCGGCGGTGGCGCGCGAAGATTGCGCTCGACGCGTGGATGTCCCAGTCGCACGTCGCGCAAAGCACGGCGCGATCTGCGGCGCAGAACGCAGAGGCTTGAAGCGGGCACAGAGCGCAGCGCAGAGGGAGCCGCGTCCCTCCAGCGAGCGTGAGCGGCGGCGGCGGCGGCGACGGCGGCGGCGTCAGCTTCGGCTCTTGCGGCGTGAATGACGCTGACAAGACCGGATAAAAAAGGGGCCAACTCTGGCCAAGAGCGTTCGGAATGGTAAATTGAGGAGGGAGCGGAGCAAACCGAAGGCTTTGCGCGGCAGCCATGGAAAACGTGCGTAAAGTGCGGCGTCTGGAGCGGAGGGAGCGGAAGGAGCGGAAGGAGTGCTAGGAGCCGCGTAGGTGTGGTAGTACCGTGCGAATGGCTTTCGAGAAGGGCTCAGCAAGCACTCAGGGTTCGATAGTCACCAGTGCAAGGAAAACGGAGTGCGATGCAATGGCTTTCAACGAGAGACAGGATAAATGTAATGACGGGGGGTGGATGGGACGGGTCATGGTCACGGAACTTTGATGAGAAGATATCGAGGTTGAGGCCCCGGTCACCATGCTTTGGCTACTTCCTCCGAATTGAGAAGAGGGAAGGCGGTGGTGAAGTGGTGATGAAAGGCGCCACGTACGTAGCGAAGAAAGTTCAGGGAGTCTGTGAACTGCAAGTCTTCCCAGGCCCATGTGATATGGCTGGAAGCGATTCTTCACCTTTTCTGGCTCTGAAACGCTATGCCTCCAGTCAGGCGAGAATCGAGATGTCCTCTTTCTCCGTCAATGGGGGAACCTGTGCATCGGAAATGCCCCTCGCCAGCCGCTGCTGTGGTTTCCACCCCCCAGGAGGCTCATATCCACGCAGAATTTTATCGACATAAGATGAAATAGCCTGCGCAGGCGCAGGCATGACGACGCCGACGCCCTCATGAAAACGTGATGGCGGTTGGCTGAAAAAGGCGGTGAGCGCGTTTGCGACCTCGGTGTGTCACGTGATCTAAGGAATGTGAGGGCCGTAGTGAGGATTCTTAGATTCCGACTAATATCTAGCCAAGGCATCAATGCCTGACAGGAGGTGTACGTTCGCCGAGCAGCACCTGCAAGGAAACAATGACCGAGACCCAAAACGGTACTGTACTGTACTGTACAGTTTTGGGTCTCGGTCATTGTTGGCAACACGTTTTGATCTGCCTGCTGCCGCTGCTGACCACTGACACGTAAGGCGGTGGACCGTGGATCCGTCTCAACTTCTTGTGACTCGAGCTTGCATCTGCGAGAGGGGGAGGATTTTGTGCATCCCGAAGGCTAGCTTCCCCAAAAGTTGGTTCTGGACTCCAAACGTTCTGGTGATAACTCCTGCGAGCACTGTGATACACGTTTAGCCAAATTCAGGACGTGCCATCCGCCGTTCCTTTCCAGAACCAGGGCGTGCCAACCACCAAATGCTACTCTGAAATATACTGCTTCGTAAATTTTAAGGGTGGGTGACTCCTAGCTAGATTATTTGAATCCGGAATCAAAGGCACATCCACATGATATCCTTCACGTGACCCACATCAAAAGTTATCTAGATCCTTATCCCGATCTGAAGGGAGTGAAGCCAACAGGGGTAAATACTTTAGTGGACTGTCTGCATAACTCTCGATTTTTCCGTGGACGCACATCAAAGTTTTGCTTTGCCTGTGTTATTCCGCCCTACTTCCATGGACACATTCGAATTTGCGGGAGGAGAGAGCTCAGCCGTACAAGCACAACGTGCAGAAAACAAATCCAGCAGACCCTGTGTGCGTCGCGACGAGCTACAGCTCCCAGAATTCGAATCCACCACATTGCACCTGGAAAAACTGCAACGTAATTTGGTGAGTCGGCCTGGTTCAGATACCATCAGATGCTCGCACTTCTAGACAGTTTTCCAACAGGCCCCTGCAGTGCAAAACATGGGAGCAACATTTCAGTGAATGTGACAAGCTGGCATCTTAGGGCTAATTCCTAGATGGGGGCTACAGAAGAACCCATGGAAGCCCCAAAGGTTTGGGCGGACGACAGTAAAGAGCTGCAAACTCGAGTGTGTTCATGGAAGTAAGTCCCCTGTCCAGGAAAGAAAGGCGGAAGTCTACGGGCGAAGAAAACGGTTGATGTGCGTCCAGCAGTAATTTTCCCCAAAGCAAAGGCGTTCATATTGTACAGTGCTCATCGCCAAGCCATGCCAGCGCAGCGAGGGCGTGGAAAATCTGCGGTTTCGGCTGGGAGCCTGGGACTCCGAAATGGGTTCCAGAATCGGCGGCGGATGAGGCTGAACTTCGGAATTCCAAGCCATTGGCTCCTCTTAGCTGGGTGATTTGGGTTCCCCTGCAGCCACTACAGAACGAAAATCCATCTCTCTAAGGAGAATTCCTTTTCCTTACTGGGCTCAACTACAGCGCGTATGCCCTCGACCCTAGGAAGACCAGGCCCGGCCATTTTCCTCGGTCCCGAACCATTTCGTAAACCCAAACCTAATGCGCGGCGCCTCCGTGGTTTTCGCCAAACGAATCGCCCTAACCTGTTTGCGAGGTTCTGGGCTAGCCCTGTTGTGCCTATAAATGCCTAGGTCCTCATTTGTATTGACAACTCTTGAATCACGACTCTTTTATTACACTACCTGTTATTACTCTGATTAATTCATAACAGCTGGTATCAGAGCCCCGTTCCTGCCCGCTTAGTCTTCCGCAGAGTAGTCCGTTTATATCGGGAGAGGACCCGACAGAATAGAGGGTTGGCCAACGGTTGGTAGGCGAGCTCGTTAAAGCTCCTCCAACTAAAAGCGTGTGCACCCTCAGATCTGTCAGGTAAAATTTCCAGCATGACTAGCACGCCAGAAACCTCTGCCCGTCGTAGTGTTAGGAATGTGACTCAGAAGGAGTTTGACGAGTTGCAAGCCAGGGCGGCTACAGTGACGACACTGCAGGCCCAGCTTCAACAACTCGCTGATAAATTCGAGTCGCTGGGAAGCGAAGTTCAGACGCTGCGCAACGAAAACTCGTCACTTCGCCAGACGCGGGGTGAAACGCGTCAGGAGCGGCCTGTTACCCGAGACGAGGATGCTGCGAGCAAAGCGAAGGCGTCGGCGACACCTGAAGCAGTTGAAGAAATCCAAAGCGAACCGTGGGCGGCCATTAAAATCAAGCCTCCCATGCCCCCACCGTTCAACCCGACAGACAGGACGACCACCGTGAGCGGGTGGCTGTTCGCCATGGAAATCTTCTTCACGGCAGCAAGTATTAATAACAACGTCTCACGTGTCAACTTGGCTGTGTCGCTGCTGAGGGGACCGGCACTCGACTGGTGGCGCATGCATCTTGACGAGGGAGGAGCTCCGGCAGGGAATCAACGGGCGGCAGCTGGGGAGATGAGTTCATCAACGGCAACGGCAGAACCAATCTTTGGCTCGACCACGATCCGCACGTGGAAAGCGTGGGGCGAAGCGTTGAAAAGCAGATTCGAGCACATATCCATGCGCGAAAATGCTCGCACAAAGCTTCGGATGTGGAGACAGTTGGGCCCTGTCCAAGAATACACGGCGTCGTTTCTGGCCATCTACGACCAAATCGGAGGGATCAACGAGGACGAGAAAATCGATCGCTACGTGGGCGGACTCAAACCGGAGATTCAACAAGAAATCGTCCTGCGAGCCCTGACGACCTTCAACAAGATTGTTCGCATGGCGGATGCGCTGGACGCGCGACGTGGACTCGCGAGAGCCGGTTTCCGGGAGGGAAATCGCTTTCGAGGCCAGCCCCAACACACATCAATCAACGGCGTGGACGTGTTTGCAGCCCGAGTATTTTCGGGGACCTGCTTCCACTGTAACCAGCCGGGTCACATGGTGAGGGACTGCACGCAGCTGAAGAAGAACTTACCTAACGACAAGAAGCCATCGGGAAATGGAGATCGTCAGTAGCAGATGGGCCACCTACTGACTTGACTGCGTCGCCCAAACGCCACCACCCCCACCAGGTTATAATGCCGATTTGGGCTATCGACCATTCCTGGCTGAATAAGGGGGGTGAACCGGTTGATCACCCTGTGCTGGTTGAAGGGAGAGTTGGTGATACCCGCATAAAAATATTTGTTGATGGCGGGGCAAGCCACTGTTTAATGGATGTGACGAAAGCAAAAAAATTGCGACGGCAACTGGAGCAGTGCGTGCCTGAAATCGACGCGCGATTGGTCGATGGCACACCCCTGGCAATTCGGAAGCGAGTACCTTACGTGCGAGTTACATGCGGCGAATATTTCAGCTTTACGACGAAGATGCTGGCGACAACGTTGGACGGCTGCGCCATGCTGCTGGGACGCGATTGGCTGCGCGAGTACAACCCGAGCATCGATTGGCGGACGGGTGACTGTCGAATCAAATGGAGTGGTGAGTGGCGACGACTTCCGAAGTGGAACAATCCAGATTCTGCGACAGTCAGCGCGGTTATAATCAAGCGAGCGACAATTCGCGGGGCACAACTATACGCCGTCCGATGGATCGCATCCACGGCTGTCAGCGCACCGGCCGACATTGACAAACTCTGCGCGGCAGTCCCCGACGACTTGGGCGACATTGATCTGCAAGCATGCCGACATCTTTCCGGACGACCTACTGCCAGGATTGTTACCCAAGCGAGACCACGACCATAAAATCCAGTTGGAGCCCGGTGCGCAACCGACGGTTCGGACACAGTGGAGGCTGACTCAGCCAGAGCTGGATGAACTTCGACGCCAGCTGGATTACCTGCTCGAGAAAGGTTTCGATCGCCCTAGTACTTCACTGTTCGCAGCTCCGATACTGTTCACCCCGAAGAAAGATGGCGGTCTACGAATGTGCATTGACTACCGCGCCTTGAACCGGGTTACCATCAAGTCTCGCTATCCTATTCCGCGTGCCGACGAACTCATCGACCAACTTCGTGGGGCAAAGTTCTTTTCGAAAATTGACCTGCGAGGCGGTTACCACCACATCCGTGTCAACGAAGCTGACTGCTACAAGACGGCGTTCCGAACCCGATACGGGAGTTACGAGTACACGGTCATGCCTTTTGGCTTAACCAACGCGCCTTCAACATTCCAGTTAACCATGAACGAAATTTTTCGGCCGCTGCTGGATAAATGCGTCATCGTGTACCTCGACGACATCCTGATATACAGCACTACCCGGGAAGCACATTTGAGGGATTTGGAAGCAGTCTTCGCTCTCCTGCAGCAGCATCGACTCATCACCAAGGTTTCACTGGAGTTTTTGGGACACGTTATTTCCATCGACGGTGTTAAAATCGACCCGAAAAAAATCGCGACCATACAAGACTGGAAGCCGCCGGCTAATCTCCGCGAACGTCAAAGTTTCCTGGGGTTTGTGAATTACGTTCGCCGATTCATCCCGAACATGACGGAGGTAACTTCCCCTCTCACGGATCTTCTGAAGAAAGACACGTTTTATGAGTGGGGGGGAGAGCAGCAGGCTGCGTTCGACCAACTCAAACTTTTCCTGACAACACCTCTGGCTCTTCACATTGCAGATCCTCACCGTCCGTTCGAACTCATCACCGATGCTAGCGACCTGGCTGTTGGCGCAGTACTGTTACAGGACTTCGGCAAAGGCCTCCAACCCATCGCCTATGAGTCACGAAAGCTGAATCCGGCCGAGCGAAATTATCCCGTCCACGACAAGGAGTTACTCGCCATCGTTCACGCTTTCAAGGTTTGGCGCTGCTACCTGACGGGCGCTGATGTGACATTCCGAACAGACCACAAATCGCTACAGTTCATCCGCACCCAACCGACACTCAACCCCTGACAGATTCGCTGGCTCGATTATCTCGAGTCGAATTTCCACTACAGAGTCACCTACAAACGAGGGGCCAGCAACATCGCCGACGCACTGACCCGCCCTTCAGTCCATACCGCCGCTGTCCTAATCACCCAAACCAATCCGCTGCTAACTGGACTATTTACCCACGGAAAAAATTTACCGACCCATTCTTCACGACCAACAGTCATCCCCAACTGACAGTCAAGCAGGGGGCTTATTACCTAAAATCCGGTACCAATCGGATTTGGGTTCCCGCTTACCGTACCCTACGCGAGCTACTGATACAGGAGGCACATGACTCGAATTTCTCGGGTTACTACGGCATCGACAAAACAGCCAAACTACTGAGCCGTAATTATTACTGGCCCGATTTGCCGACGGACGTGCAGCAGTATGCCACCTCCTGCGCCACATGTCAACGCATGAAGTCATCACGACTTCGACCTGCGAGATTACTGCAGCCGCTCAAGCCACCCAGCCGACCCTGGCAACAATTGACAATGGATTTCGTCACTGGCTAGCCAGCTGGTCCAAGCGGTAATGACGCGATTCTCGTCGTCGTTGACCGTTTGACCAAAATGGCACACTTCGCCGCCTGCAAGACGACAATCACTGCCGAGCAGACAGCGAAGCTGTTTCTCACGAACATCGTGCGGCTTCACGGCATCCCTTCGGCAATCATCAGCGATCGCGACCCTCGGTTCACGTCCAATTTCTGGACAAAAACCTGGCAACAGTACGGCACACGTCTGCATCTGTCCACGGCATACCACCCGCAATCGGACGGCCAGACTGAGCGCACCAATCAGACGATGGAGCAGCTGATTCGTACAACGTGCACAGACCCAGCCCAGTGGGAAGATTCTCTTCCACTGATCGAGTTTGCGTACAACAACGCCCCATTAGCCACGACTACTCAGTCCCCGTTCTTCCTTAATTACGGGATAGACCCGACAACCCCTCTATCGCCACCGATAGAAAATCCAGCACCCAGATCGCAGCAGTTCGTCGAAAACCTCCGACAGTCTCAGCAAAAAGCCGTCGATGCCATTCTCAAAGCCAACCAACGGGCTAAGCAGCAAGCTGACCGACGACGCCGTGACTTAAACCTTGCCCCTGGGCAATTGGTCCTGCTCGACACTCGAAATTTGGGGATTCCCCTCCCAAATAAACTACGACCAAGATTTTGCGGCCCATTCCGCATAATCCGCATGGTGACTCCCGTCACTGCCCAGCTGCAACTACCGGTGGACTGGCGCATTCACGATTCATTCCACGTCAGTCTCCTGCGACCGTTCGTCCCGAATACAACTGATCTCGAGCGTCAACATATCAATCCTACGGTCAACCCAGTACCCAAGCGGACGATCGAGCCATCGAAAATTCTCGCTCATCGCATACGAGGTTCTCGCGATACAGCCGCCGTTGATTTCCTTGTACGATGGGTCGATCGCACGACTGATGACGACCTCTGGGTCCCCGCAGCTATGCTCGGTGAACACAAAGTTGTCAGGGACTATTTACACCGACGACGTGTCCCGGATGTGGGTAGTCTCATCTCGGAAGGGGGGGTGGTGTAAGGAAAATTCCTTTTCCTTACTGGGCTCAACTACAGCGCGTACGCCCTTGACCCTCGGAAGACCAGGCCCGGCCATTTTCCTCGGTCCCGAACCATTTCGTAAACCCAAACCTAATGCGCGGTGCCTCTGTGGCTTTCGCCAACCGAATCGCCCTAACATGTTTGCGAGGTTCTGGGCTAGCCCTGTTGTGCCTATAAATGCCTAGGTCCTCATTTGTATTGACAACTCTTGAATCACGACTCTTTTATTACACTACCTGTTATTACTCTGATTAATTCATAACAATCTCCCATATACACCAGTAATCAGGGTATACCACCAAGTACAGATTCTCATACTACTTGTTATTGTAATGCACTAGACTGCATCCCATGCTTAGGATAACATTGGGGCCAGCAGAGTACTCATAATCACAATAAATCATCCTCAAGATAGTACATATCTAAGAATGGCTTCATAATTCTCTTTGTTTATGCCATTCTATGTGATCACTATAAAGTGAAATGTGGTTGCGTTGCTTGCGAATTATAAAAGGGGCATTAGTCTGGAAAAAATGTGTCCAACAATATAATGGTATTCTAGAGTGTGTTTCTAGGAAACCTTATTAGACAACCCTTCTTTCAGACTCGAGTTACACCATTTATAACTACGTTGCTCATGCTCGTTCGCACTGTACAATTTTGTGCGGGTCTAATAAGTAGGTCGTTTGATAAGAGATTTAGGAATATGCTATGAGCGCATTCCATACGCTTTGTGTCATGAGGGCGTATTCCTACAGTCCAGGATCAGGATCAAGAAAACGGAGCTGATCCTGGCAAGCAACCTAGAACGCAAGGATCAGCTCGGGCTTGTAGCCACGTTACGCCACGCATGTGTAATTCGATTGGATGTGGGTATAGGCCCATTCCGTAAAAGGAAATTTGATTGTTAATGTTGCCGCGTGGAGTCGCACATACTGAAAGCGACGAACCGTAACGCACGGGATGCGGACACCGACGAACCGTACCGCATGGCAAACTCAGCCCGGAAAACGGGCGAATTCGATTCAACACCAACTGCTCTCGGAGCAGCAGAATAACTAGAACAAGGGAATACAGTAGAGGATACACGGTTGGAGTTGTACCCTCTATGAATACAAACCAATCTAGCATATAACCTCTATATATATACATACGTATAAGTTGATACAACCCCTAGGCTAGAAAAGGGGTAGTGCGGAGCAAGAAACACGCAACTCAGGGTGGCACTACTAGTCCGACCTCTGAGGTAGGGGTCCGGAGACCAGTCAACAAGAGTACAAACTCAACAAAAGCAAACCAGGGCGGCACTACTAGTCCGGCCACTGGAACAGAAGCCACAAGGCCAGTCAAGAATATATGTATAACGAGGAGCACACAATCAAGGTCCTAGCAAGTGAGTAGCTACAGAAACCAGACCAAGCTGCAAACAGTGCCGCTGATGATCGTTAAGCGCAAGCGCCTTAGTAAAAATATCAGTTGTGTTGGCAACAGAGGCCACATGTACTATGCGGGACTGGCGGCGCTGCTGTAGCTCACACACGAGGAAGTACCATAGCTGGATGTGCTTCGCTCTGCCCTCAAGTCGACGCTCCTAACATAGGAGGATCATAGCCTTGTTGTCATCGTACAAAACCGGGGCAAAGCTAGGCCGCTCACCTAAGTCAGTGAGCAAGACATTCAACCAGCGGAGCTCCTGTACCGCAATGGCACCGGCGTAGATCTCAGTCTCACAGCTAGACTGGGCAACAGATGAGGAGCGGGTGGACCTCCACGAGACGGCACCTGAACCAAGGCTAAAGCAGTAGCCCTGGGAGGACCTGAGTGTCTCAGAGTCGTCTACACACGAAGCGTCTGTGTGCCCAGTAAGGACTACTGGTCTGCGTCATCCGAGCACGAGTCCCATACCCTATGTACTCGCTAGATAACGCAAAACCCTCTTAGCTGCCGACCAGTGCTGTGGTCGGTATCACTCTGTGGCTACAAAGCGTGCCAGGATGCTGAGAGGGTATGCGAGATCTGGACGAGTGCAAGTCATTTGGTACATGAGGCAACCCACCAGCTATGCGTGAGGACCGAACCTCTGAAGGACCTGGTGCACCAAGTGTAGCTGTGTGCGAATGATGGTGCGTGCTGCACTGTCCATGGAGATTTGCAGGCCAAGGTAGTGGTGCAACTCTCCTAAGTCAGTACGGGTGTGTTTCCTCAGCAGCACAGCCTTGACGGGGGCTAGCGCATCTCTGTCTGCAGTAGCGAAGACCAGGTTGTCTATGTAGACAACGATATAGACGAGGTCTGGACAGCACGAACAAAGAGCGAGGGGCCTGCAGACGATGAAAAGA